GTATGGGTCAAATATGATTATTGATGGATGATTATCTTGTGATTGATAGCGCGGGGATTCTTATGGGCCAGCAGTCAGAGATTCTTTCTGGGAGATTCGGCAGTGCGAGGTGAGTTTTTCTCACTATACTTTTGGGTCAAAGGCACTAAGATCAGCCCATTGGATTGTTATCATGGTTTATAGCATGTTGGTATGCTGTAGATATTTGTTGATGTGTGTAAACCCAACTAGTTTTAATCCTACTAACTTAAACACAAAGACAAACACACGAAATGCAGTGTACCTATCGATTAGCAGTTTAGTTCAGGTAAGTAGGGTATCGAACACAAGGGAACGGTAAACAATTAAAATAAATGCTAATATTATCTAAATAAAACAAGTAATAAAAAGGGGGTTTCTCTAGTTTTGCAAGACTAGAAACTTACCAACTAATACTTAGACTACTTAACTAAAAACTAGATAAGCAAAGATTCAACTAAATTCAATAACGAAGGGAACTTCTGTTTAGTTCAACTCAATTGATCCTATGGTTGATATTATGGTAATAGTGCAATGGATTAATTCTTCTATTGACTACCGATTCAAGTGATTAGATTCACGTTCGTTGCACTAATCCTTAGAGAACAAACTAACTCAAACAGTAGCCAGTTGTCTAATTTAATTCAATTCACTAGGTTATTTATTTGGGTTAATTTAGACTTGTAATGGTTAACTAATTTGGTCATTTAGTTAACCTCTTGTTGATGGTCATCACACAAGCTCACACATGAATTTACCTATTTTTCTTATTAAATCTAGTTTCACATTCGCTAATCCTAGTCATATAATAAAGTGTTCAAATAAATCATATGAGGTAAACAATTAATAGATGTTCATGCAACTTAATTATCTTCCTATTAACATAAAAATAGTTATCATTCACACATAAGGTTCTTTAACAAGCTAAAATCAACAAAATCACCAATATTAAATCAATCCTACCATAAAATCAAACCATAATCACAAAATCATCTATCCTAAACAGAAGTTATGAGTTTTTAGCTCATATCTACAGCAAATAAAAAACTAAAAACATAATCTAATGATTGAAACATGGTTTATGCAAAAGATTAAGATAAAAGTAGTGTGTTATTGCCTTTGATCTTCTTCCAAATTGATATCTAAGTTGAAATCTCGAAAACCACAGCTTCTAAGAACCCTTCTGGCCTCCAAAAATCGTCCTAAACTTCCCCTACTCGTTAGGGTTCAAATGAGAAGCGTTTATATATATATATATATATATATATATATATATATATATATATATATATATTCTGAAAACAGGAGCTACTCAGCGAGTCCAGTGACCAACTCGGCGAGTCCATCACTTAAAACCCGTGCACGGCAAGGCAAAGTCAAGAATCGCAAAACTTCTGGAAAACTCGTCGAGTTGATGGCCTACTCGTCGAGTCCATTTGGAATCAGCATTTTCTCAAAACATGAAAGTCGTCCGAAATTGTGTCTAGTTTTCATAACATTTTGAATCTCGTCAATCGGAGTTACGGTTCATGAGATATGGCCAAAATACTGACGAGTGGTCAAGCTGTCCATCAACATCCTTCTTTCTTCAAAATCCAAGATCCAAGCTTTCAGTCGCTAGTTCTGCATCCTTTTCCACCCGAGCATGTCATTGTTGCTGAAAAATGAAACTCTAAACTAATTAAGCACCTTTTGTTCATTAAATGAGACAAAAACAACATCAAGTATTAAGATAATGCATGAATTTTATAACTAAATATGCTTATATCATCTGTTATATATGTATCCTGGTATGTAGGATGGTGTTATTCTTAGTGAAATTTTAGATCTGCCTAATTGTCTGTTGATTGGTTATATGTTTAGTTGTGTATATGTCATCGTGGTGTGGGTGGGTTGAGAATGTACTGCTTTGTGTTGTCAGTCAACAAACCCAATAATGTTTATATTGATGTGTTGTTATGGTTTACTGTGCTTATATGTGTTTTGATATGGTATATGTTGATATGTGATGATGTGTTGGGTTGAGGTGGTTCTGCAGTGTGCTGAAGGCCAAAAGACCCAGGGCGGCCCAGATAGACTGCATACCAGAGGGGCGTACCATTCAGGCCGAAGACCCAGAGAACGGTCCAGATAGGCTGAAGGCCCGATAAGGCGGTTCAATCATGTTGAAGGTTATGTGAGCGGTCCATATAGTCTATAGGCTGGTAGGACGTTCCAGTCAGGTTGAAGGCTTTGTGTGCATGATGTTTGTTGGTATATGTTATTTGTTTGTGTGGTGGTATTTTGGGGGAACTCTCTAAGCTTTGTGCTTACAGTTTCAGTTTATTGTTTCAGGTACTTCAGAGGACTGTGGAAAGGCGAAGGTGTGACCGTACACATCCTTGGTTTTACGGCTGAATGGATCTTGGGAGATTCTGATTTTAAATAACGTTTTGGAAATACTAATTTAGTACACTTTTATTAGTAAAAAGGTTGTTTTTAAAAGTTCAAATTTGTTGAAACTTTTGGGATGTTACAGATAAGAACATGTGAATTCTTCAACCACTTCCAAATACCAGTCCATTACAATCACAATTTGTAATTTTCCATTCTTTCAGATGGAAATTTAGAAAAATTATATAATTATTAAATTGTTGTCCTTGTCCTAATAGATGTTGTACAAAATAGAATTCACTCCCACAACACGCCAAGAGACTAAAGTGAGCAGCTTTTGACTTATTACATGAAGAAAACGTGTGACTAGTTTGCTTTTAGTCTTCTCAATTTGTTTTCTTTTATACAATTATTTTTACAGATAACTTTAAAATTACAATGACATGGTGTTTTTATTTATATTTCTTTATTCATGTGTCACCAGTTGCTAAAGAAACTGAGTAAACAGATGAATGGTGAGGATTGACTTGGAACAACTTGAATACACTATGTTGGGCCAGAGGATCATCTCAGGTTCCATGATGGAAGACCATGTATTCACCTAAATGCCTAATTGGTGTTCAATATATTTCTCATTTACAACAATACTAAATTCTTACATTCTGCTGATGTTTTTTTTTTTTTTTTTGCTTGATAGGAGAACAAGTTTCTTGTTATGGTTGTTCGTGATCTATTGAATCTTTGCGAAATAACAAAAAAAAAAGGACAACAAAGCTATTTTCGCGAGTAATATCATGTATAGTTGTTTACAGTTCTCTCTCCCTCTCTCTCTATCTCTATCTATCTATCTCTTTTAAATTTATACCCCAAGCCTTGATTCTAGTAAATATTGTTTGTCCCAACTAGGGTTTCGTTTTGAATATGTATATATAACAGTATACGTGTGAGAACTCATCTATAAAAGTGCAAGAACAAGACTCTTGAAGAATATCAAGGACTGCCACTTGGATCTCATCCAACAACTCTTCCATCAAGTTAGTCATAATTGTTGGTCCATATTGGAATTTTCTTAATTTATGGTATTTGTTTGAATCATGGTGTAATAGTTATAAGTAATTATGAAAGAAGATAACAATAAACTTTCAACCATTACTAGGTATTATTTATTTGAATCTAAATTCTGAAAGAAGCATACAACTTCAATTTTAAATACATATGATTCACATGTAAATCACATATAAATTACTTGATTCACATGTAATGCTCATATAAATTACATATAATTATCATATGAATCATATGTAGTTCACATATAAATCACAAGTGAATCACATATTAATTACATGTGTTTCACATGTAATTCACATATGAACCACATATGAATTAAATGTGATTCACATGTAAATCACAAGTGAATTACATATGAATTACATGTGATTCACATGTAATTCACATATGAATGACATGTAAATCACAAGTGAATCACATATGAATTAGATGTAATTCACATGTAAATCACAAGTTAATCACATATGAATTACGTCTATATGCACACATGCATTTTGTGTAAGTGTTATTCGTTATTATTATTATTATTATTATTATTATTATTATTATTATTATTATTATTATTATTATTATTATTTATTTATTTATTTATTTTTCTTGTGAATTTCACATTTGAATCTTAAAAGCTACAATCACATGTGAATATCACATTATATAATCAAATGTGAATCTTACATGATATTGTAACACTCGATTCAAGTATTTCTAGTTTACACCCTTGGTGTGCCAATGTTTTGAAGAATTGGTCCCTAGGGGGCAGAATTGCCAACTTCAGTAAAGTTGGAGTACGTTGGGTGTACTAGTGCAATTCTGGATCGCGGGTCTTAACCACTTACGCATGGCGTACGTGGAGTACGCATGGTGTACATGAGCATGAGTGAAACCCTAATTTTTAGGGTTGTACCCTATTTAAATCGTATGATAGCCTCATTTGGTCATGTTTAGTTAGTCTCCATCTTCCTTTGTCCTGAAGTCGAAACTCTAGTGTGTTTTTGTGAGTTTTGAACCTTAAAAAGTGTTTATGATTAAAACTATGTTTCATAGAATGTCTATGTTATTTTAAATTATTATGTATGTAACAGACAAGTTATAATCTAGTGAGTGTAATAAAATAGAGGAGAGAGATAAGATGCAAAATAACTAATATACCATGACCCTTAGAGGCTAGTGGAGTGAGTTAAAATATCATAAAAAAATTATTTCCAAATCTAACATGCTAAAAAAAAAAACAAATTTTACAATTTTAGATCCATACGGATCAAAACAAAAAGAAAAAAAAATACAAACCACGAACCCAATTGTAGATTTTTTTTTTTTTACATTGTTGGCTATAAATCTTTTGGTATTTATAAATTTATCTAAACTTAATCAATGTAATTTTAATTTTGTTAAAGAAGAATACATTTTTAAGAGTTACAAGAAATAGAAGTGGTAGGTAGGAACGTGGGGCATATAAAATTCCCCTCATCCACGTCTCAATAGTATCGGGCTATCGGCTCTACCAGTACCAGTCAGACACTTTGACTTTCCGCATTCCCAAGATGACGTCTCCGGTGGCCCTGCTCTCTTTCCTCCTCCTATCTCTTCCACTTCTCTACTCCGCCGCCCCACTCACAGCTTACGAAGCCCTCGAACAATACGATTTCCCGGCGGGTCTGCTTCCACTGGGAGTCACAGGCTACACTCTCAACGAGGACACTGGAGAATTTGAGGCGTACCTGAGTGAGACATGCTCTTACTCAGTCGAAGGCTACGATCTCAAATACAAGTCCACCATCAGCGGAAAAATCAGCAAAGACAAGATCACCGACTTGAAAGGTATCAGCGTAAAAGTTGTGTTTTTCTGGGTGAACATCGTGGAGGTCACCCGCGACGGCGATGAGTTGTCTCTCTCCGTGGGGCTATTGTCTGCGTCATTTGACATCAGTGGATTCATCGAGTCCCCACAGTGTGGTTGTGGGTTCGATTGCAACGATATTCGAATTGATGAGATTACGGAAGAGAATATGGATATGGTTTCGGTTTTGTCCTTCTGAATTAATCAACAGGTTTTGTTGATTATAATAAACTTGTTTTCCACCTTCAGGAAAAATTATAGCTAGCATCGTTTTCTCGATAGTTTAGGGCTTTCGGTTGTCTACCTAATTATTAATTGTTAGGTTAGCTAATAGTTCGTTACAAGCAGATTACAAATTATGTTGTATGAATTGGTTATGAATTTAACAATTTAAATAATGTTATCAGGAGCTTTCACAATAATAAAGTGATTGGAAAAAGTATTTACTATTTTAGTGTATTTTCAAAAATATTTACTAAAATAGTGTTTCTTTTCATTTTTTTTTTCAGTTTTCCTTAATATTTTTTATTTTAAATGTCCATTTTTTTTTTCTCTTTTATTTCACCTTATTACTTTTTGTTAAATAACAATTTTTATTTCAGTTTTTTTTTTACCCTTTTTTTACTAACAGTTTTCTTTATCATTTTTATTTCTTTTATTTTCTTTTTAATGTTAAATATCCGTTATTATTTATAGTATATAAAAAAATTTAAAAAGAAAAACTAAATTCACTTTCATAAGTGTAATTAAGTGGCCCAATTGAGTAATGCTTTAGTTTTCTAATATTATATAATACGAATTTGAAGATGTTTGTTATTTTAGTTTTCATATAATTAAACAATGAAATATATTTTCGTAGAAAATCAATAGGCCTAGAGTACGTGTAGAAAGTTTATATTATTCAATATGACATAATGTTTTTTCCTTTAAAATTAAATGAATTTGTTTTTATGTAATTTGCATTAAACAACCAAAAACCCACATTTAATATAAATTACCGGTTCAAGGAAAATGGGAGGCTTAATTTTTTTTCTTTTTTTCATGACTCTAACATTACACATATAATGTTTTTAAGGTAAAAAAAAACTCAACATTGTTCGTTAAAAAAACACCACAATTGAAAAATAGAATACATGGCATATTCTATTATCTTGTATCTTTTGTTTATTTATTGTTTTATTCCATTCGTCCAAATAAACCATTAAAATTAATTTTTATTTGTTTTGTATAATTCAGTGTTATGAACTTTTCTTTTTGGTAAAACACTAAATTATGCAACTAGTTACTATATTTTATTTTACTAATTTTATATCAAATTAATTTTGTAATCAATTTCTACAATCATGTTGAATTCGCTACCAATTTATTAGTTTTTTTTACCGTATTGATTGCATATTTACATAATAAAATATTATTATATACAACATTCTTACATGAAAAAAAAAATTATGTCTTCCCTTACACCTGCTCCGCTTATTGATTTTCTACGAAAAGATATTTCATTGTTTAATTATATGAAAACTAAAATAAAAAACCTGTCTTCAAATTCATATTATATAATATTAGAAAACAAAAGCACTACTCAATTGGGCCACTTAATTATACTTATGAGAGTGAATTTAGCTTTTCTTTTAAATTCTTTTACATACTATAAACGATAATGGATATTTAAAATTAAAAAGAAAAAAAAACAAAAATAAAAATGATAATGAAAACTCTTAGTTAAAAAAACAGTAAAAAAAAGGTTAAAAAAAGCTGAAATAAAAATTGTTATTTAATAAAAGTAAAAGAGGAGAAATTAAAGAGAAAAATTTTTTGGATATTTAAAATAAAAAATATTAAGGAAAACTGAAAAATAAAAAAAAATAAAAAGAAACACCATTTTAGTAAATATTTTTGAAAGAACACTAAAATGGTAAATACTTTTTTCAATCACTTTATTATGATAAAAAATCACTACATTAAATAAAATGGCAATAATCATATACTTTTGTTACATAAATAATTCATTTTCTCAAGGTTAATACACCTACAAACGCAATATTAATGTTTTAAGCTATCTATCCTAATAAATAAAAAATAATTATGTCAAATGTCAACTTCTTATTGAATTTGATAGATATAATTTTCTTAAAATTTTAAAATTATTTTTTTTTCATTTGTTATTTTTGTATTTTTTTTCATTTTTATTTAATTTTCACATATTAAATATCACCTCATAGTAATTAATGTGAATTAATGTATATAAAAACCTTCCATTTGTGAATTCTTATTTCTATTTAATGAATTATATTAATTAGTTTTATTATTATAGATTAATTAAGACAAATTACATTAATGGTCCTTGTGGTTTATTCTATTTATTGTATTTATTTCAAAAGTTTACTTTAAAAAATCCATTATTTTTACACATTCATATTCAACGTGATTTTTTAAACATGATAATATTTTTTATAAGTATAGATTGAATTACTTATTCATCATTTCATTTATATCTATTTCAAAATTTTACTTTAAAAAATACTTAATATCTACGCCTTATATTTAACTTTTTTAATCCACCCGTGTAATACACGGGTTTCACACCTAGTATTTTAATACGCCTAGTATTTTAATACATTTGAATAAGTTGTTGGAAATTATATTTTGCACATAAAATAAGTTGTTGAGCAAAAAAGAGGCCAATTTGGGATGGTAGCTGAGTTGGGAAGAAATGAAGCAGAAAGTGCATTAACATGCGACACATGCCTCATAATTTAGACTTAACGCGGAAGAATTCGAGTACAAATGCGGGCAATTTTGATTACGTCTTTCGTAATCTCTCGCAAAAAAGTATAAATTATTTATTATTTTTTACCTAACGGGATCAAACATTGAAGATATTCTTTAGAAGAGTCGTTTTCAAAGACTAGAAGACGATTTGAAGGTTCGAATGTTGACTAGGAGCAAAAAATTGAAGGATCAAAAGCAAAATCATTAAAGATCGTTTGGTTTGTTTTATTATCTATATTCAATGTGATGATTTCTTTATGTTCATCATTTCTGATTTTGGGGATAAAAACCCTTTTGCTTTTTAATTAGACGTAGATGAACCCTAAAGGTTTTATTTGATTTCTCTTGGATGTTTTGAGTTATTTAATTTATCTTATTTGTTTATTCAAATATCCATGTGTTAAAGCTTGTATTTTTATTGCCTATTGTTGAGTAAATATAGTCTAGATGCATAATTTGACTATTTTCAATTGAATCATGGTTGATCATGGTCATTGATAAGTATGACTAGTGACAGACCAAATCTTATGGTTATATTAATAAAGTAATTAACTTTAATGTGTGTGATTTGCATTTGATGGTCATTTTGTGTGATTGGTTTTTTGGTTTTTGATGCTACTCAAATCTTCGGGAGGTCTTTTAGACTGGTGCTTCAGTGGGGATCTTAGAACATAGAGTAAATCCGTTAAAACTGCCCCAGAGATTGTGCCCTCGAAGCAGGCTCCGACGATCAAGTTAGATCAGTTGGTAGAGATGATATGGTTCTTCTTAATAGGAGAGAACCATGTTGGTGTTATGGGGGAGTGTATGGGCATGATGGAA